CTTGCTGGGCTCCCGTGCCTAGGCCGCATGCACGCCTGGGCCACGTGTTAGCGTGGGCCGGCCGTCTTGGCTGCTAGGCCACCGCGCTGCGTTGGGCCACGCGCGCGCCTGCGGGCCGAGCTTGGCCGCCCAGGCCTTTTATTGTTGCGCTGTTTTGTTTTGTTAATTCAGTGCCTTTTAAAATTGAAAATAAAGTATAGAAAAATCATAAAAATACCAAACTAATTTTGTTAGGCTCATAAAATCATGATCTATCTAATAATGTATTTTGTTCACATAGATTCGGGATGTTTTTAGGGTTGCTCTAATTATTTTAACATGCTTAATATTGTTAAAAGGTGAACTTATAGGAATTTCCGTGATAAATCGGTGATACTATTGACTCTGAAAATATTACAGTAAATTAGTAATATTATTAGCTATTCACTGTAATTTTTGTAGCTCCCGAATAATTAGTTTGCTAGAAAAATAATGATGCCCTATTTCGGATAAAGATTAAATCGATAGAATGAAATAAAGAAACACCTTGGGATTGTATAACTAAACCTTTGTTGGGAAATAATGCCTTATTCGCCAACTTGGATACGTAGCTTAGTATGTTAGTCGTTAGAACTAGCTCGTTAACTTGAGAGGCATAAATCGTATTTTACGAGTCACGATTTCAGTTGATTAATTACGTCTTTGCATTGCATCGCATTGTATAATAGGGACGTTGATGGATCACGGAGTCATCGGGAGTTGCTAGAGAATGGTGCCTTTGGAGATCATGTCGCCATGATGGAAAGCTAACTTCTGATTAAGTCTTACCCTGGCAAACCCCGATGCATAACCTCTATTTTGCTGCACTTTAAATTATATTTGTGTATTAAGTTTTAAGGAGTTGAATAAAACCCACTTTCACATATATCTTTATCATATGAGTCTTACTAGTATGACAGGATCGTGTAGATTGCTATGCTACAGGACGTCGGTAGAAGTCGAGTGATTGCCTGTCACTCGCGAGATATAGGAAATATATTACTGTATTGTTATCACTTGGAATATATAAATGGTGGAAAGAAAAATGATGATCGGGCAGGGATATGGTTTGGGTATTGGTGGGTGTAAGAGGTTGTGTTCTACGGCCAACGGGACATGGCTTAGTTACACTGCTTTCCCTGTCTATGTCGGTTAAGGACCAGTCATTGCATAAGGCTCTAGGCAAGTCACAGACTTATTATCCCGAGCACATACTTGGGTATGGGCGCAGGGAAGACTCGTTGCTCTCTTGTCGTGGATCCGGCTCTTTCCGTATCGACTGATTGGAGGCGGCGATGGTGAAGGTTCTTGCACCGCACTGAGTCCGGGACTTAGGAGTGGGGGCTTGGAGTCTAAGTTTGGACAGGGACCTGGACACCTAGGACAGGAGGGTGATGGGTTAGTCCTGCTTGTGCCTGGGGTACAAGCGGGGCGTGTGTTTTTGGGGTACCCAGCTGGGGCATTGATTCGTGAATCACCGGGCGATCCGGTACGGCTTGTCTATGGTTTAGCATCGTAGTAAGAACTGAAGGATGAAAGATGGAAAAAGGAAATCTGATTGCTCATCACCTGCTTGAAAGTAGTACAGGTGCTTATATAGAATGGTTAATTAATGAACTAATATGGCTTCCTAATAAGAATCGAATATAAGGACGCACGCTTAGTAATGCTTCCTGCAGATGCAATAAACCCACAAGCCAGATAGCCTTGCATACCCTTGGAGTATTTTCTTTCCTCCTGTTGGGTAAGTCTTGCTGAGTACAATTGAGTACTCAGGGTTTTATTTCCCCCTGTTGTAGGTGACAGGTGGATGCTAGAGCTGACCCTTGTGTGTGGATTCCTCCTGGTGGGCTCAGAGAGGATTTTCTTTACGCTGAGATCATAGTTTTTATTTATAACTCTCACTAAATGTTTTTATAATCTGTTGTCATAGTTTATGTATCAATGCTTCATCATGTCATGATTAGAAAATTATTTCTGCTGTAATTCTGATAATATGATTACATTCCGCTGTTATAATAATAAATATTGTACTCTGATGTTGTATTAAAAATGATGCAAGAAATGGTTAAGAATGATGTAAGCTTTATTCTCTCATTTGTGATCCTGATGGAAAAATGTGGATTTTTGGGTTCTCCCTTGGGGTGTGCCCGACGGGACTGTGTAATTTAGTGTCCTCCCTTGAGTGTATAGTATCTAATGGAAGACAAACACTCCTAGGAGGCATTAGATTATACGGTTCTGCCACAGAGGAGTCCCCAACGTAGCTGGCGAGCCCCCAGCGTAACTAACGATGAAGCCCATGCGATGAGCAGTCCAACCAAATGGTCAGCGACGAAGTGAACGCCGAGCAGGAGTGAGTGCCGAGCAGTTCGACCAGTTGGTTGGCGGTGAAGTCCGTCCGATAGGTGGTCCGACCACCCAGACGATGATCATCTTGTCCCATCTCTGAGCGTAAGCTCGTTGACCGAGCCGTGCCCTTGCGAAACAAATATGGAGAACGGGTAGTACATGATGTAAAATATATGAACTCCGGAGAAGAATCAGCAATGGTGATGAAATAGCATATGCAGCTCGGCAATCAGTTGGTGTGAACACTTAGTGTTATTACGAAGATGTATTTATATTTAATATAAACCGTCCGACCAGTTAGTGTATAGCTGAGTCTCCAACCCTAGCTAGCCTGTTAATCATAACGCGGAGCGCGGAGCCCGTGTGTGTGCGTGTAGGAAGAACAAAGCGTCGCTAAGGAGCCGCTGCCGACCACTCATAACGCAGAGGGCAGACACTCATGCATGTGTAGGGAGAAGCCGGAGACAGGGCCGTCTCTGGGAACATCCGAGCATCAACATGACTGTTCGAGGATTTGCCTTAGGCTTAGCTGTATGTCATCTTTAAGATGGTATACATGAAAGAAAATCGTTTGGAGAGCAAACATTGAGAAAACAGCTCAGAGAAACATCATGGAGATATATGAAGGTTGGAGAATATTTAGAAGAATATTAAAGCGTGACTTAGCTTTAGACAGAAAGTCTGGTCGGTGGCGTATGGCGTTATCTAGTCGGCGTTGACGGCGAGCACCCGGCGGGCGGTAAGTCTTCGATCTCTTCTATTCTCGACGACGGCGAGGCCCCCGAAGATAGTGGCGACCACTTTGTCGTGATCCTTGAAGGCGTTATTGTTGTTCCCATGTGGTCGGCGAGCTTCTGGCCAACTTGATCGATGGATGCGATCAGATCGTCGTTGTTGATCCGCCTCCTCGAGTAGCGGGGAAGCGGGGGGGCGAATTGTTGGTGAAGACGACCTCGGAGGCGGCTCCGAGATCGGATCTATAGTCACGGGTGTTGGGGTGATCGGCGTAGAATCGATCTACACCGGCTCGAAGAGCTCTCCGTCTCCGTCAGCGTTGATGACCCAGGAGATCGATCCGACTGTGAAGATCTGGCCAGGCTGTGGGAGAGACGAAGAGCCTGCAAAACGTACCATCTTGTTTGATATAGAAATAGCACGCACACCCCTACCTAGCGCGTCAACTGTCGATAGAATATTATCGGTAGTCCTCCGAGGGGTATCCCACGAAGGTAGATTGATTGGCAGAGGTGCGCGTAATCAAGAACAAGAAGGCAACAGAGACACAAAAGTTAGACAGGTTCAGGCCGTCAGCGCGACGTAATACCCTACTCCTGTGGTCTGTTGATTTGTATTGGCTATCATATGACGTTGCATGTGATCAGATGCCTTAGGCTAGGCCTGGGATCCGTATGGGGATGTCCACTAGGGGACCCCTGCCCCTCTTTATATGCTCTGGAGGGGTAGGGTTACAAAGAAAGTATCCTATTTGGTATTATATAATATCTTATTGTAGCTTTACGGTGCACGCCGAGCAGTGTCGTGCACCGTATGCCTTGATCTTATGGGCTGGGCCACCTCTGATGGTGCGGCCCATATCTTGTCCTGTGGGTACCGGAGGTCATATCCCCCACAGGGCCCTTGTAAGTATAATTGAATATAATTCTACGTACAAAACTTATTATTCTTTGAACTATAAATAATCAAAAGTTAGTAATGTTTATAATTTTCTACAATTCCTATACTGCAGGTGCCAGAAATCGATCTCAATTTTAGGTGACCCAATCCCACATGGCCACGCCCCACTCTCCTGCGTCCGCGCCTGTGCCGACAGAGAAGAAGAAGGCAGCGGCGGGTTCAGCGTCCTCTCTCTCTAACTCTCCCTCTCTTATTCCCCAACTCCGACGGGCTTAGAAGGGGCTTGAGGAAGGCAGACCGACCAGGCGGTGGGGATGGCGGGAGGGCGGCGGTTAAGGTTCTGGTAGCGGAGAAGGCAGCCAGGCAAGGTCAAGGCAGGGGCTATGATGTCCATGGCGGCGGCGGGAGGCGGAGGAGAAGACAGAGGCCGCCGCAGGAGCGGCAGGGTCTCGCCGAAGCTCTTGATGGCTGCGGCCGCGGAGCTCCGGCGAGACCCTGTCGTGTCGTGCCGCGGCGGCGGCGGAGTCACGTGCTCGCCGGATGTGGAAGAAATAAAGATAGAAAAATGGCATGAGGAAGGAAAAAAAAAGGAGGATAGCCGTGAGATCTTTATCGGACGGCTCACATTCATTGCTTGAAAAAAGCTTCAAAATCAGACATCTCAATTTTAGCAACCCCCATAGTTTTCAGTGTCGAAGCTCATATATTAGACACTCTTAATTGTTGGGTTCCACAGCAAGACCATTAGAGAGAAGACATATTACATAATGATATATAGAAGCATTGACATCTCGGTCGATCATATCGACGGCACAGAAGAGCCGACATGCACGCACAGCGGCACAGTGCATCACATCCCATGCATCATCATGCGCGAGAACTCGTCGAAGCACACGAAGCCGTCGACGTCGACGTCGACGCCGCCGATCATGCGGCGGCAATCCTCGACGGAGCAGCAGTCATCTCCCAGCGAGGCGAGCACGGCGCGGAGCTCCTCAGCCGAGATCCTGCCGTCCCCGTCGGCGTCGAACACCGCGAACGCCTCCCTGAGGTCGCCCTCGTCGTCCGCCGCGTTGTTTGGCGAGTTCCTCCGGGACGACGAGCCCGGCGTCCGCCTCCGCGAGCATCTCCGCCAGCTCCTCCTCGCTCGAGACCACCCGGCGCAGCGCCACCTTCAGCTCCTCCCGCGTCACCGCCGGCGCCGGCGGCTTCCTGCTAGTCCCAGCCCCAGCCCGCGGTGGCGAGGATGGCAGGAGCACGGTGCGCGGCGTGGTGACGGTGGACGCGCAGTCGTGGGAGGACGCGGTGGAGCTGAACGAGCTGCCACCGCCGCTCTTCTTGCCGTCCTTTGACCGTCTCGTGCTCTTGCTCTTGTTGCTCGCCTTGGGAGAGGCGGCGGAGGAGGAGGAGCCGCCGCAGAACGGCACGCTAAGCTTCATGGCTATGGTTGGTACGTACCTTGCTTGCAGGTGGCGATCGAGGAGGACACGTCGAGGAAGGAAAGGTGGGGATCGGAGGCGATCGATCGAGACCGACCGACCACGAGCAGGGTGGAGAAGACCAGAGGGTCCGGGAAGCCGGAGTTTATAGGGGAGGGGAGGACGGGACGGGGAGGTGAGCTTCCAGGAAGCTTCGCGCCGGGCGCGGGAAAGTAACGGCCAACCGTTTCGCACATTACCACCCTTGCTGCGTGGAGTGCGATGCTCTAGGTGACGTCAGCTCACGCCGAGGGGACGCCGAAAACAACATGAAACCAAATGCAAATAAGTTGCCAAACACGAAACATTATTTGATTATTACCAATGCTGGTATATATATTTACACAAAGTGGAGTAAATATTTTTTTAGTAGGAGGAAGTGGTGTCGTGTTGGTAATAATATAGAGAGGTGTGGGCACACGACGGGGTTGATATTGACCTTGGTATGGTAACAATTTATGGTCAATTGTTGGCTGTTGTCTCTCGTTGATAAGGAAGGAGTAGAGTGAACAAGCGGTCCTTGGCTTAAAATTGTAACCGTTCCCAAAATCTCTTCCGTCCGCACAATTTTCGATACGTTCTTAGTGAAAACGCAAAATTACGCATAAAGTTCTACTTTTCTGAGGTGTTTCTAGTGAAGACGTGAAATTAAGCATGTATCCTTCTTTTATTCCCCTCCCACGAGCCTTTGCTTGCGCCTCGTTCCGGATGCCGCACGCAACTTCCCCATGACGACCTCTATCAACGTGAAGTAGCCGGTTCCGTAAAATCCTACTTTTCCGAGACGTTCCTAGTGAAGACACAAAATTACGCATAGAATTTTACTTTTTTCCAAGACATTCCTAGCGAAAGACGTGAAATTACGCATATAAATCTACTTTTCTGAGACGTTCCTAATGAAGACATAAAATTACGCATGTATTCTTCTTTTATTCCCCTCCCAGGCACCCACACGCCTAGGCTTGCTCCTCATTCCGGCCGCCGCACGCAACTTCCCCATGAGCTCTACCAATATGATGCGGCTAGTTCCGTAAAATTCTACTTTTTCGAGATGTTCCTAGTGAAGACACAAAATTACGCATAGAATTTTACTTTTTTCAAGACATTCCTAGTGAAAGACGCAAAATTACGCATATAAATCTATTTTTCCGAGACATTCTTAGTGAACACACAAAATTATGCATGTATCCTTCTTTTGTTCTCTACCCACGCATCTAGGCTTGTGCCTTATTCCGGCCACCGCACGCAACTTTTCCCATGAACTCTATCGACACGATGCGCCCGGTTCCGTAAAATTCTACCGTTTCGAGATGTTCCTAGTGAAGATACAAATTACGCATAGAATTTTACTTTTCTCGAGACGTTCCTAGTGAAAGACGCAAAATTACACATATAAATCTACTTTTCTCAGACGTTCCTAGTAAAGACACCAAATTACGCATGTATCCTCCTTTTATTCTCTACCCACGTGCCTAGTCCTGTGCCTTGTTCCGGTTCCGCAAAATTCTACTTTTTTCAAGACCTTACTAGTGAAAACACAAAATTACACATAAAATTTTACTTTTTTGAGACATTCCTAGTGAAGCCGCAAGTTATGCATAAAAATATACTTTTTTGAGATGTTCCTAGTGAAGATGCAAGTTAGGCATAAAAATATACTTTTCTAAGATGTTCCTAGTGAAGACACAAAATTACACATGTATCCTTCCTTTATTCCCTGCCCACACGCTCGATCAGGCCCATACGTGCCTCGTTCCAGCTGCCACACGCAACTTTCCCCATGAGCTCTATCGGCATGATGCGGCCGGTTCTGCAAAATTCGACTTTTCCGAGACGTTACCGGTGAAGACTAAAAATTACGAATAAATTTTACTTTTTTTATGCATTCCTAATGAAGAAGCAGAATTACGCATAAAATTCTACTTTTTTGAGTCATTCCCAGTGAAGACACGAAATTATGCATGTATCTTTCTTTTATTCTCTACCCACGCGCCTAGGCCTATGCCTAGTTCCGGCCGCCGCACGCAACTTTCCCACGAACGCTATCAGCATGATGCACCGGGTTCCGCAAAATTCTACTTTTTCGAGACGTTATTAGTAAAGACACAAAATTATGCATAATAAAATCTCTTTTTTTGAAATGTTCCTAGTGAAGACGCAACAAAAAAAAGTTACGCATAAAAATATACTTTTCCGAGGAGTTCTTAGTGAAGACGCGAAATTACACATGTATCCTTTCTTTATTCCCTGCCCACGCGCTTAGGACCATGCCTCGTCACAACCGCCACACACAACTTTCCCATAAGCTCTATCGGCATGATGCGGCTGGCTCCACAAAATTTGACTTTTTCGAGACGTTACTAGTGAAGACTCAAAATTACACATAAAATTTTATTTTTTGAGACATTTCTAATGAAGAAGCAGAGTTACGTATAAAATTCTACTTTTTTAAGATATTCCTAGTAAACACATAAAATTATACATGTATGCTTCCTTTGTTCCCTGTCCACGCACCCAGGCACCGATTTTTTTATTTTTTGGCCCGTTTCTTGAAAGTTATTCACAAATATGCCCCTGGAGGTATGCTTTCAAAATCTGGACTCTTAGCTCGGCGCCATCGTCGGTGGCGTCAAGGTTACACGTCTCGGCGTCAGAGGGTTTGGCGCCTAGGTCGCGGCCACGTTGGCGGCGTGGACGCTGACCTAGCAGCCAGCTTGGCGCCGAAGATCTTGGCGCCGAGCTTGGGGCCAAAGATCCTGGCGCCGAGGTGGTGTTTTAACCCGACGCCCAACCTTGCTGCCCTAGCCTTCTTCCTCTTCTTTCTTCTCCCTCTCGGGTTTTTTCTCTTCCCACTTCGTCCTACCTCACGAATCGTCATATTGGACCTTGAAAACTTTGATTTGATTCGTAGATCTTCGAGAGCAAGGTATCCTCGCTCCCTCCTAGTTTTTTTCACATCGATTCGATATATATTAGCCGGATTTTTTAACTTAAGAATCATCATTACTTAGGGTTTCATTGAATTTTAATATTTATATTATACAACCATATGATGCCAAGGCGTGGAAAAGCTAGCAAACCAAGGTAACCTCAACGCACGTTGTTATGTTATGGGTTCATTGTTATGGATCAAATGAAAAACCCTAGGTGTAGGGTTTAATGTTAATTGCTTTCGGTTCTTAGAACGAAAATGGCTAAATTGTAGTTATGGCTGGATGACCAGAAATGCCTTCGACCCATTGCCTCTGTCTAGTCGTGTTCCAGTGCCCATGTGCTTTTGCGGCGATCCTTGCAAGGTAGCTAAGTCCGATAAAGAGGACACATATAGGCAGATGTATTGGATGTGTTCTAATTTTGCGTTTGAGCCTACACTTCGTCAGCGCCGCATTAACAAGATGGTGAGGAATTGATGTTGCGTTATAATTATTTTGTGTCATATGACATCTTGCATGATTTTTTTATTTTATAACAATTGCATTTGTTCCAGACTCCTCCACCGCTCTGTGATTTTGAGCAGTAGATCGTCACTGAGATCGAGCCTGAAGATAAGGAATGGATGCAGAAACTGTTGCGGTGGGAAACAGAGGACAAGGAGATGATGGAGAAGATACGCAGAGAGGAAGCTGCAGAAAAGGAGCACAAGAAAGAGGAGAAGATACGCAGAGAGGAACCCACGTACTTCTAGTATTATTGTGTTGTTTAATGTGTCATAGTATTGGACTTTTTATTATGTAGTTATTTTTATTATTTGTGCTCATAATATTTAGTTTAATATTGCTGACGTAGTGAAATATGATCACGTGTTGTAAACAAAACCTAACGAAGTAGGGCATTATATAATTCAACACACACAACACATGAAATGGCATGTGAGAACATATACCGAACTAGGGTACATAGGTCCTGAACTAAACCTAACATGCCTTAGGTAATTGAAGCGAACAACAAGCACACGAAATGGCACGCGAGAACATGTACCAAACAAGGGTACATAGTTTCTTCGACTAAACCTAACATGTCTTAGGTAATTAAACCAAACAACAAACACATGGATGTGCCATGTGAATAAGATAGAGTCGTCCTAGTAGTGTGGCCACATAGCAAATTGTGTTGCACCTTCTCCACAGTAGCCTCCCATTGTTAGTGGTGGTGGTGGCGGGGGTGACGGCGGAGGCCCCTTGTTCTTGTGATTAGGGCAGGTACAATATGGATCATTACAGAGTGCATTCTATGAACTTGCACCATTGTTGTCGTCGTTGTCTTCGTCTTCCTTGTACCCGCTACTAACTTCCCTTTGTAGATCGAAGATTTGGTCCTACAGGTAGTAGATATACTGCTGATGCGGATAAATTGGTCGAGGATCGACCCACCTAGTGAACCCACAGTTTTCTTTAGACTCGGAAGACTACAATAAGTATGTCCCGTGAGTTGTAAGGGTATTCAAGAAGCATATTTAACAAACAAAATATAATAGCAATTACCTATGCTCGCGGGGATTTGAAAAACCGACGACTTCCGTTGATCCCCTCGGTGAACATCTGCACTAAGCAGTCCTTACCATGCATGCATTTTGGCCAATCTTCCTTCTTGTTATCGTATCCTCTAAGAGGGCACTCTTTAGTGAAATCACTCTTGCCCTCGGTGAACATCTGCACTAGGTTGTCCATCTAGTAGTTCAAACAAAAATTGAAATACAGTTCGTTTACTCCAAAGTAGCTGCTATATAGTACCTCTCTAATACATACTAACCAACTACACCCTAAGTATATAAATACAATCTATTAACTATATAGCTAAATCCTACCTAAATAACTATGTCACTAGCTATCTAACTATATTTATCTCACTAACTAAATCAACTAGCTATCTAATAACTATATCTATGTACCTATGTCACTAGCTATCTAACTATATTTATCTAACTATATCTATCTCACTAACTAAATCAACTACCTACATCATCAAATTTACTAGAAACTACCAAATAATCAAAGTAACACTACAATTCAAGCTAACTAAGTACCTACATTCCATATTCAAAAAATTTACATGTCCAAGTCAATGTAACGAACAAAGCACGCGACGTTGGAGACGAACAGAACTCTGGCGGTTGTTGCGGCCTTGCGTGTGAGATTGACCCCTCCCCCCCCCAGGAGGAGGGGCGCAGCTCATGGATGCCGGGAGGCGGGGTGTGGTCGTGGTCAATTTGGCGAGCAGGCCGGGGATGCGAACCGGACGCAGACGTCGGGATCGGAGCAGGATGGGGACGCGGAGGACGGGATCGACGGCGAGGTCGCGCCGCTCTGGGAGCAGGGGTCGTGTCGCGACCGGGTCGTCGGAGGGAGCGCCTATGCGCGTGGCGGACGCGGCGAGCCAGGACGGACGAGGCGGCGCGAGCGGCTAGGGAAAGCGGGGTGGCGCGCGCAGGCTGGCGCAGGGCGGCACAGCGGCGAGGCGAAGGCGCAGCTGGGGGCCATGGGGTGGCCGGCAGGGGCCGGCGGAGGGAGCATTGGGCAGCGAGGCGGGCGGGAGAAGCGGCTGGCGGCCAGGAGACGGTTAAGTTCAGCAGGGGCGGGCGGGGGCGGGAGGGGCATGGCGGCAGGGGGTGGCGGTGGGCGGTGGCGCTGGACGGGCGGCCAGTGGGGGGGGCACCGGCGGCATGGGGCCGCATGACGGGCGGCCGGGCCGGCAATGACGGCGGGGTGGTTGCTGACGGGCGGCGGCAGAGGGCGGGCGGGCGGGCGGCATGCGCAGGGCGGCGGGCTAGGGTGCTGGAGGCGGGCGCAGCCTGGTCGCGGACCAGGGGCCATGGGGCGGGAGCTGGGCGAGCGGTGGCAGATGTGATGCGGCGCGAGAGCTCATGGCTGGCCAGCCGCGCGACAGGGCGGTGGTGGTGGTGGTGGTGGCTATCTACAGCTCGGGCGGTAGATAGAGAGAGGAAGAGACAAAGGAAGGGAGTTAAGACAGGGTACGGCGCCAATGATCTTGGGGTCAAGCTCGGGCGCCAATGATCTTGACGTCAAGCTCGACGCCAAGATCTACGGCGCCAAGATCTACGGCGCCAAGGTGACTGCCAAGTAACCGCCACATCTGCGTCGACGCCTATGTCAGCCCAAGACCTAGGCGCCAAACCCTTTGGCGCCGAGACGTGTAAGCTCGGCGCCACCAACGATGGCCTCGAGATAAGGGTCTATATTTTAAAAGAATACCTCTAGTGACATATTTGTGAAAAACTTTAAAAAAAGGGAAAAAAATAAAAAATTCGGACCCAGGCACGCGCCTTGTTTTGGTAGCCCGCATGCGATTTTTCCCATGAGCTCTATAGGCTGAGCACGCGCACGTACGATGCTATCGAGGTGGCGGTGTTGCAGGACATGCTCAACTGCAACGACACCTCTGTCCCTTTCCTCTAGTAATTTCCGAAGATGATGTTGCCGTCACTAGTTCTATCGGCCCACCTCGGAGGCTCCGAGTTGCGGCCTGGGCGCGCTGGCATGGCATCGTGGCACCTACTGCGATCCTGCCTGTACCGAAATTTGGGACGACACGAAAAATGAAACAAAAAAAAAGGATGTATATAGGCCAAGACGATGTGTGACGGCAACATCAAGTAAGCTTTTGGCATTCCATCCAGATTGTGACGTCATGATGCATGCCAGCAAAAAATTAATAAACTTGGACTAGTCAAAATTTTGTGTCGTGTACGGTATACTAGGCTAGCACAAGCCTAGCTACCATGTCGTTGACGAAAGTACCATGCATTTCGTACAGTCTCAGCTGGAAACTAATTAACCTGACGAAAGTGCGAGGTACAGACAGCGTGCTCTTCAGAGAAAAAAAAAAGATATATGAAAAGTGAATGCTGGTGCATTGTACAGTATAGATTTTTTTAGAGAAATGTGTATACAATATAATAAATAAATAAATAAATAGACCAAAAAGAAGAAGAAGAAGAAGAAGAAAAGGCCGAACAAAACGTAGCAAAGCCCAAGAAAAGAATTGTAGCCTATCCGAAGAATTGAACTGCCACAGCCCATAATAACCGCGACAACTCCAAGCCCAGAGGTGACATGCCGCATGCGCCACCGGACGCTCCAAGGCCCAGCCACACTAATAACAGACCTGATGCCTAGCTGCAAGTGGTAAGCTCTCTCAGTGCAGAGCACAGGACACGATTCCCTTCGGAGTTCAGCCACAGGGAGTGAGCTTCTTATTGCCGGCACCACGAGGATTGTCGTCCTTCCAGTCGTCCCATGCCCTTGCTTTCTCCTCGTCGGCATCCTCGTCCTCTTGCGCTGAACAAGTAGCGCCATCCTCGTGCCAGGCAGAGTTGGCTTCTTCGATCATCTTGGCGGTCCTTTCTTGCCATTTCTCCATCATTTTCATCTCCCGCAAACCAGCTTCTTCTATGCTCATTGTTGGCAGCCTACGATCCAAGCAACATAAAAGGGCAACAGAAAAGTGAATCACAGGGTACTTCGGTACATGCCTCATGAACCGTAAAAGCACGGACAATACATGTTAATCCAAGGGTACCATCTCATTTATTAGTACGTAATTTTAGAGGATAAATATCTATTGATTTCTACCAGAAAATATCAAAAGGATTAGCTTTTTATGTCATCAGGCTGAAAAACTATCTAAAGTCATACCTGTAACCAGGCTGAAAAACTAGTGCTGCCATTCTTTCCCTTTCACTGGTTAGCCCACCCCCAACAAGGCTTGCAGATCCGAGTATCAGGGGCTGGTGTTTGTGCTCATGAGCTTGTGAGACACTCACTCTACCTTCGAGGATGTCTTGAGCTAATGTTGCGCAAGTGATTGGATCAGCTGGTTTGGAATATGGCACACGGTTGGCAGCATTATGGTGCCATGCTTCAGCCTTCTTTGTTCGTTCATCAAGCATTTCACGAGCAAATGCATTCCCGTCCTGAAGAAGTGGAAATGTTACACCAGGCGATTTTTCTGTTTAGCAGAAGAAGCATCTTTGTGCATCCAGAGTCTACTTGAAAGAGCCCTGTGTCAAAATATACGAAGGCAAAGCACTGATAATGGAAGTAGCTTTTACACATTTTTAACGGCTAGGTTCTCTTCATAAATACACAGAAACTATTCGATACTAGATACACTCAAATGACATTTTTATAATTTCTCAAATTAAAAGAGAAACACATGGGATGAATACATCCGGTAGTGTTCCGTAACAGTTGACAAACATATGAAAACAAGTTCTACAACCTTTAAGAAATGTGATGTAGAAACATGAGAAACCCAGCTAGCCTAAAACATTGGAATTGATCTATACGAAGCTACAGTACTTGTCACAGTATTTTCATAAGGTTTTCAGAAGGCTGCTTCCGAGTTGAAAATTTCTTATTATATAGCTAACTACACTGTATCCAAAATGCACAAAGCAGGCATTCTATGCATTTATCATATTTTTATTTATGTGAGACATGATAGCCTGAAACTCACTCCCACATTCTAAGAAGGAAAAAAAAGGTTACTGAAAATAATTTTCCTAAGATGCTACTGACAAGAAAATATCAAATCACTATCATTAGTGTTACCTTTGCCTGTCTTTCCTTTACAGCTAGAAGCATTTCTTCTTCCTTCTTCAGCATGTCGAGAAGATCAAAAGCCTATATAAGGAAATAAAGACAGACCTATTATAGTTCAGCAACCAGCAAATATTACTATGAATGCAAGTTATACAATTTTAAAAAACAGGGAAACAAAACTCTACAAGCAGCATTGTGTAATATTTTTTGCCACATCAAACTAACCTTGCAGAGAGCCAATGAGATGGTAGCTAACCAAGCCTGCAGCATAGAAGTAAATGAGAACCAAAGCATATTTTTCTGATATTATAAAAATGAAGTGCAAAATAATAGAATATGATGTGGGTGCACGCATTGACAAGATATGAAACAAGATAAAAAAGAACTAGTTAGTCATGGGGAAAGCAGAGAACAATGTTCAAAAATTTGAAGGCTTTGCAGTATGGATTTTATTGCTATGGGATAAATTCTATGGTAGGGCTGCGTCAGTGTTATCAGAGAGAACAAGAAAGATCCTCATCGGCTTGGTATGCACAAAAAGGAGCATGACAGGGCATGTGGTAGGTCCCTGCAGGTATTTAAGAACCTAGCTAGTAGCTACATGCATCAAATTCGTAAAGCTCCCCTATAAGCATCACAAACTTAATAAATTAAAATCAGAGGTATCAGGGAGAGCAAATTTTTATTCTCTAAGGTCTAAATATCACAGCTCATTCTAATTTGAATATGCTGAAAGATAGAACCAGAATAAACATATCATGAACACATAACAGCTTCAGTTGTGGGATGCTAACCTCTCTTTCTTCCTCCCCATCATCTTCCAGATCATCTTCCTCCCAGTTTCAATGGGAGCAGATAAAGCAGCTGCTCTCAATGAACGTGCATGCCTTTCTTTCCTCTCTTTGATCTCTTGGAGCTTCGTTTCTGCAGCCCTTTGACGTTTGAACCAGGTGACCTGGATCATGAAATTGTAAGGAGCGAACTTTGCAGGAAAATCCCACCCTAAACATGCTACGATATGAGTGATAACTGATAAGCCTACGCATACCCTGTTTCAATTATAGAGACAAACTGCTCAACAAGTTGAAGGGGGAAAAATGTAATTCGGTCTCACCTTCTGCGCTCTTCTGTTAGCCATAGTATCAGGCTGCTCCTGTCTAGATAATTCTAGCTCGTCCTCTGGAATAAGTTCCAGCACTTCACATAGAGCAATGAACTCCTGTAGAGCACAAAAGGAGTTATTATTATTTACTAATACATGAGAAACAGGTGGCATGACGACAGAGTACCTGTACCTACCATGTGAGACAAATCTTACAAACCAACCCAAAAAAGAAGCTGCATCTACAAAAACAATGTGGCATAGTAAATCACTGGCCTTCGAATGGTGCTGTGATGCCTTAAGTATCGGGATCCGATCGTCCTGTGATATCTTCTCAGTCATTTCTGCAAGGTAGTATGGGACCTAAAGTTCCAACAAGAGATAAGAGACATAACAATAACCTAACAAATGATCAATAAGTGAATCACCGAAACAATTCCAGGTTTCCTAGCACTGATGCGATTGTACTGAAAACTGACTAAAAAGTGACATGTGACTGTACCGACAACGGACTAAATGACTAGGCGTATAGTACTACCATCTTATTACACCCTGTTCCATGAACGTGTACAGCGAGCAGAACAGAGTGAGGGGAGAGGGGCGGGCAGACAACGGACATACGAGTAGGTACTTGAGGTTGGTGGTGGAGACGTCCTCCTTGGTCTCGTTGGAAGAGAAGAGGCCGAGCTTGCCGACCATGCCGTCGCAGCGCCGTAGCAGCTCCACACCCTCGCGGACCCCTTCCTGTCCACAAGCAGAAACCCAAGCTCGTAAGCGTCAATCCTAACTGTTGGTGATTACGGGAAAGGACGGATGAAGCGAGCCGGGAGAGAAGAGGAGAGGGCGGGAACGAAGTTAGGAACGAACCTGGCCGAGGGCGGAGCTGCAGGCGAGTGCGTGGAGCCACGACACCCTGTCGAAGAGGGCCGGCAGCAGGAGGTCGGCGTCGCCCTCCACCTCCCCATCCCCGTGGTGGAGCCGCATCTGCGACCGCATCCTGTCACTCACCTCCTCCACCTCCACCATCCCGACCGTGCAGGTCGCCCCTGCCGGACGCGAACGAGGGGGATCAGCGGCAAAGCCCTAGCGCGGGCAGCGGCGGCGGCGCGGATTCGCAGGGAGGAGCGAAAGCAGAGGAGCTCCTGTCGTAAGCGTGGGCGAGACGAACGAGACCGACCGACCGATGCTGACAGAATGTTCAGTGAGGTGCCTGCACACACACGGTTCAGTTTCCCTTCCTCTATCTCTCCTGATGGATGTCGTGGCGGCCGGAGACATGGCCGGCGTCAATATTTGTGGCCGGGCCGGAGCGGCCGGAACATCCGGACCATAGACCATCGCATCATACTCTGTCTGCAGGCTGCACTGAAAAGATGAGCAGAGCTAGTATTAAACGAGTACTCTATGCATAGACAGTGCAATATAACCAGGCGGAGAACTATTAACTTTGCACCAAACTGTCATGCTCCCATTAACATTAACATTATAACATCATCAGTACCACAGAAGTAAACCAAGACTACAGCAGCTCCGGGAGAGCTGCAGCAGCGGCAGCACACAGCTCCAACAAACAAACAAACATTGTATTTACAGGCACCACCTGTGCCATCAGCAGCAGGATCATCTTTACAGGGCTCGCCTGGCTTGCGAGATCAAGCGGCAGGATCATCTTTGGGAGCCCTGTTGTGCTGAACCGGACGCCACTCCATCTTCCTTCCCCTCTGACCCTGCTGCTGCCGGCCGATGCTCCTCATCTGGTGATGCCACACGTTCTGGTTCCTCTGCATGCTGCCACGGTTCCTCTGCTGGTTTTGCCCCCCGGCCTGGTTCATCTGATTGCCGCGGCCGCCGCTATTCCAATTGCTGCCACGGCCACCACCGCCACCGCCACCGTTCCAATTCCTGCCAGCACCACCGCCGCCACCGATGACGCCACTGATCCATATCCTGCCACCGCCGGGCAGCATCCTTGCAGTTCCAGATGACGGGTGGCCTGGATCCACCCCCTGCTGGTGCAAATTGTTGGATGGTCTACCTCCATGCAAGTTAATGTTACTGTTGTTTGGTGTGCAGGAAGGCTGGGCTCCCCGGACCGCCTCTGGTCTTTGATTTCCCTGTCCACCCCAAGCAGTGTCAGGTGTCGGATTGGCTGGATCCCCCCATCCAGTGGGTTTCAGATTAGGAACCGGTTGTCCCCATCCCGTGGGTATCAGATTGCCAATAGGTGCTCCCCAATCCATGGGTGTCATGTTGCCCATGCCTCCCAAACCCAGGTCGGCTACCAAGTCCAGGCCAGCTATCTTATCTAGGCCAGCAACCAACTCCGGGTCAACTTTGCAGTGGTTATCGACCTCATCGATGTATATATCAGGGTCTAGCACAGGATCCTCATAAGGTTTGCCAAAATATTTTGCCCTGAACCTTTCCTTTGCGTCCTCGAAATTCTTGAGCGCTCCTGAATCATCCCAGTCCATGACGTTTTTGAATAATATTTCAATAAATCGCTTGTTATCGCAGAAGATCTCCCAAGGAATGTCGTAAGCGTTGCGGCAGAATTCTCTTTCCCATAATGGGACTGGGCAGACATTGTCCCCTGTGCATATGAAAAAATGGCTATCAGAATTCATGGTAGCAGCACGGCAATGCAGAAAGAGAAAAGATTCCGTGATGTACTGCATTCAGCAATCTGGAAGAACATAAATAGAAATGCCTTATAGCTAGATTAATTCCAACATGCAAATTTGGAAGATACCAGACTGAAACTTTAAAATTAGTTCAGTAAACCAAATAGCCCAGAGATAAAAATTGAAACAATCGTCCATGTTTTCGACTGCAGAGAATATTTGAATTGATCCATAAATAAAGATACATTTAGAAGCTATTATGTGGTCACTCAAGGTGTCATCTAGAAAGATAAGTCGCCAAACAAGCTCTTGCACTTGTTACATTATCTGAGAAAACAAAAATATGATGTCCTGTCATTGTAATTTTAATGGCGGCGCTAGCTTTACATGTTGGCTGTGCACCACTCTCTAATTACCGGAAGGGATTGTTGTTTCCAAGATATGATGACCTTGCACCAGTAATGCTTGCTTCAGTAGGGAAATAGTGCTGACCAATTTGTTCTAAAAAAAATTATAAACAAACACCTACAACCAACTCTTCCAATATTTTAGAAACAAAAATGGACAATTACACATATTACTGAAATAGTTAATGAAACCCAGCCATGATGTAAGAAATTAATGGCAATGAGAAGTTTCCAACACTGAAACTGGAAAATCGAAATGCAGTTCAAAGGAAGATCAAGAAAAGAAAAAAGGTATGATGTCAAGAAACAAGCCCAAGTTCTATCTTTCACATGCTTGTTCTGTTAGAAGAGCAATTTCCCACTATGCCGATGTTCTGGTGCTATGATAATATGCTGTAACTTTATTTTGGTTCCAACACATAGAGTTGGGTGCTTATCCTAATAGCTCTGAAAAAATAGATACAAACATAGTGGGCAAGGAACATTAAGTTTCCTAAAATTCGCACAAATCATGTGGTTTTCAAGAATGATAAGGAAAACCCTAACCTTAAACCAAAACCATTTCCTTAAAGGGTAAAACTTAGCTTATCCATATAACCCAACATCCTAGGATTACTAGCTTCTGAGCCTATAGCTGCAAGGTGCTATGCCCTCTCACAACACTCCAGATTAGGATATAAACTCATAAATTGAATGAATGATCCTCCACTTAGTCTTCATTCATATGAATGAGGATCAAGGGTGTGCAGAAAACATCAGACAGTTATACACGCCACATGCTAAATATGGGGAAACACTCATAATTCTTGACACAAGAGTTTGATCCAAAAATGGCAACATTGCTTCTAAAGGTAAGTATCTACCCCCTACACAAGAGGAATCATCGTGTCATTCATTTAATGATAATATAATTAGTAAGGAAAAAAAAGTGAAAATGTGTCTTGCAGCATATCATAACTTTGAAGTCATATTGTTGCTTGAAAAAAAAGGTACAGACACCATGTGTGGGACCAATGGTAGTCAGTAATTCCATTGGCAGTCGTATTCGATATGTCAACGGACATCGGTTACTTATTACTCAGGACGGAACAAGCAACTAGGAGTTACGACAAAGTGCGCAAAACGACAAAGTATACAAATCAAAGATGGCGCGAAAGGCGCAAAGTGAGCCATGGATCCGGAAGATCCCAGCCATTGAGTCCATGGCGCGCAACGGGCATTTCAGTATTTGAAATCAAACGCAGTACGTAACGGATACTAGCACCTCCATGCATCTTCAAAATACTATGCACTGTACAGAGTTGCAGACTGGACTGCGTCTGAATAGATGTTTTGAATCCCCACCTGTACAGGTACAACACTGCTATCTCGCAATTGCAGTGCCCTCCCAATTCCTAACCCCCCCCCACCCCACCCACCCACCCACCCCCCAAACCCAAAAGAAATGGATATCCCCAATAGATGTGATAATCATGCAGAGATAACATTTCTGGCATTTCATCGCGTAGTGGAAAGAACAGTTCATATACATGAGGAAGCATACAGCAACAGGCATGTTTAACCAGTAATAACTCTGATCCTAAGCTTGAATCAGTATCCAAATCATCTGATAAACAAAGAATAAGGAACAGATCTAGACATCGAGTGACGAGTAAGTTCAAATCCGATCGCAACACAAGAGACTACGGATGATACCACCCAAATCGGAACATCGGGTTCAGAGAGAGGGAGAGGAATCCGTCCGTACCGTTATCAGGCCGAGGCAGAGGAGGACGCGAAGTGCGGCCCGAGTGCTCAGGGTCGCTATTCACGTCCCTCGACCGATTCCAGGCCGCCATCGTGAGGAGTAAGAGGAGGAGCACCCCGCCCCAACTCCACGAACGGTTGGCCGGAGCGCCGGGCAGCACCAGACGGAGCCACCTAAATGGCGAGCACCCGGAATCCGCCGCTCACAGAACAACCTCGCGGTGCGAGAATGGGGGCTCGGGGGGTGCCAGTGCCTATCCTGGAGGGGGAGTATATCGACGCCAGCTGAGTGCTGAAAAGGCAGGAGGGGTGCTGCGCCTGCGCGGCGAGCGCGTGAGGCACGAGGACGACGACACCGCGAGCCAGAAACTGAAACCGGCGCGGAAACGTGCGGCGATCGGCAAGGGACGGTGCCGTGCGAGATGAGGTTCCGGAGAAAGTCCGGAGCGAGCCAGAGGACGCGGGAACGAACGGACCTGGTCGACGGCGTGGAGCCGTGACGCCCCGCCGAGGAGGGCCGCCGGCGGGAGGCCGGCGTCGCCCTCCGCCGCCGCGTGGTTGAGCCGCACTTGCAACTGCGTCCTGTCGCCCGCTTCCTCCACCATCCCGATCGAGCGGGTCGCCCGGATGCGAGCGAGAGATCGGCGTCGGCGGTAAAACCCTAGCGTGGGCAGCAGCACCGTGGCGGGGATTGGGGAGGGAGAAGAGGAACGAGACGCAACGCGCCATTATAAAAAATCAAAACTTCTTCCACGCGAACAAGGTAGCCGATAAGTCGGCTGACGTTATTTTATTATAAAAAAAATATTATATTATGACTGATAAATCAAGTTGATAACTACGAATACTCTATGATTTTTTTCCTTTTCATGTCTATATTATTTATTTCTTTTAAAAAAAATAGCGTCTGAAATAACCATAACTTGTTCCAAATTTTTTTTGCATGTCCTGTGATGCCACTATGGCCCCGTTCGCTGGTCTGAAACTTGGCTGAAACTGACTGGTTTTGTGAGAGAGAAACACTATAGTAATTTGGTTGATAAATAGTGTTCTGTGAGGGTGTTCAGCCGGCTAGAAAAACCAGCGAACACGCCTTATGTCCAAAATGTTGTTGGCCAAAAAAAATGACGCCATAACTTGTTAGTGCCAAACATGCATATATGTTGTAATAACTCATCTTCCTCATCATTCGTATTGCTTTTCCATTTTTCTTCTCTTCTCCTAACTTACCTGGAGCAACAACATTGGTCGGACGATTAGGAGCCTGTTTGGTTTTCCACCATCGCTCACCCTGCCACGTTCGCCGCTGCCATGATACGTTGGCTAGCGTTTGGATTGTCTGTGAGTTGGGGTAGCCACAGAGCCAGTCCTGTCCTTTGTGCGTTGATTTTCACCACAAGTGTGGCGGCCACTTTCATCGCCACGACACCACAGCTTCAGCGGTGGAGCCACAGCTCGCATGGCGTGTGGTGGCTGGGCACCAAATAGAACCTAGTTTGGTACTACCCAACTGTGGTGTCGTTGTAAACCAAAACCTGGTTGCTACTGTGTGAGTGGGTGTGTTTTCTACAAATGACCGTACTTTACGGTCTATTATTCTCCATTCTCTTTTCTCTTTGCTCCCAAACCCTAGCTTTATTGCCGTCCTATCCCATCCTACGCCACCATCCAGTGTCCATTGAATGATTTGGTTGGAGATGAAGGGATCGGACCGAGTAAATGAGAAGGGAGATAGAGAAACGACTACGAGTGAAGTATTCAACCTCCTTTGTTGACCTGAGTGACTCAAGGTTAGTATGGTAATTTCTCATCCAATTCCAAACGCTCTTGCTCCAACATTCATTAAAACAAGATGGAAACTGAAAGTAGTGACATGGAGGGCAAAAAAGATTATAATAGTCTACATAACATTTTAGTGGTATGCACAGATTTTCGATCTTTTATAACTAGACTAGAAACACACGTCGTGCGTTGCTACGAGGATTGCAAATTACTTTTAGTGGATGACGTGGCTTGTTGATGTGGACAAAATAAATGCATGTTAGAGAATAATTTGGCCTGCTAACGTGGATAGTTGTATGTGTCATAATTTCATGTGATAGTGGATTGCTGTAAGGGACCGTGACGCCTAAGATGGGGGTGAATTAGGCAACTTAAAACTCTAACTCTAACTAAGGCCTCTAATTTCACCTAGTTAAAACCTATGCAAAAGATAAACTATCTAAATATGCAACTACGATTTTGCTAGGTGTGTTGCTATCTCTACCGTAAAAGGAGTTATGCAACCTAGGTTCTAAACCTATCAACTAGCCTATTACTAAGCTAGGAAAGTAAAGCACACACCAAGATTGCAATGTAAATACGGAAGCTAAAGAGTAAGGTAGAGATATGCAAACTCCCGTCGACGACTCTGGTATTTTTACCGAGGTATCGAGAAGTGCGCAAACTTCCCTCTAGTCCTCGTTAGAGCCCCTCGCAAGGAATCCCTCGCAAGGGCCAAGTTCTCGGTCGGGTATCTCCATAGATAGCCTCGGACCTTCCCCACGCGCAAGTGGGTCTCCGACATGCCTTCCGATAAGGCTCTCCCGGATGCTCCCCGCCGTCTTCACTATCAAGCTTCCGGCCAAACCGGCGCGGGCCTTGTTCCCTTCGGTACACGGTGGCGGCCACACCACAAACATGGTTGGTGTGATCTCGCAAGACTACAAGCCCCTCCGATATACAACAATGGTGTGTGCAAGCACCGAGTGATAAAGAGGTGTGCAAACCTCACTAAACACTAAGCCTAAACCTAGAGTAAGCGCATAAGCGGTGGTCTAATCAACCTAAGCACTTCGCAAAGCACCTACGCTAATCACCTAATGAATCACTAAGCACTATACAAATGGAGATCACTAAAATGGTGTATCAACACCTTTGGTATGTTTCCTCAGCTCTCCACTTGAAATGGCCGGTTGGGGGGACTATTTATAAGCCCCATGGGGAAAGTAGCCGTTGGGGACGAAACCCAGCTTTCTGCCATTGATCGGACGCGCAGGTCATCCTGATCGGACGCGTCCGGTCGTCCCGACCGTTGAACGCGCACATAGAGATCGGACGCACTGCCGAGTCCGGTCATCATCGACCGGACACGTCCGGTCGCATTTACGCCGCTCTGGAACCTCTCTAGACATGATCGGACGCTGCACTTTGGGCGTGATTGGTTGCTTTGGTGATGGGGAGCCAGAATGGAGAGGCAGTCCAGGATTGTGAGATGCATGCTCAAATCGTGCACCCGGTCGTGTTTGGTTGTCTTTGTTGTTCGTCCAGTACGAGACGCGATCTTGTTTGGTTGCATGCATGGATAAGAGTTTTGAGTGTATGACACATGAGCCCTTATACCATGGGTGTATCGTGTCGTCCTACATCGCGAGGGAAGTGGAAATTGAGAAGATGGAACCATACGGGATGGTAGAGGCCAGCGGAATGAAACAAAGCAGACAAAGCGTGCGAGGCGGGGAACCAAACACGATAGAGGAATGAGGTGAAGCAGGCAAAGGGTGCAAGGATGGCCTGGTTCGGGCAACCAATCAGCCCCTTTGTGCGTCCGGTCATCCAGTGCCGCTGCGTCCGGTCCTCATTGAGTTGTTGCCGCGATGATGAACAGCGAAGTCCATGCGTCCGGTCACTGTCTCGCTCAGCGTTCGGTCACTACTGCTGACGCCTGCTGTTGCCGAGCAACTGATTGGACGCGTCTGGTCCTTATAGGGCCGCGTCCGGTCACCTCTGTGGAGCTCGTATCTTCGCGATCTTGCGTCTGGCTTGGTTCCTATCTTCGTGCTTGGACTTTGCTTGATATCTTAGATCCTCTCTTATGCTTCTAGGGTCTTGCTTAAGGTGCTGATCATCAGATCATCATGTCGCCTTCGTCTAAGTCATGTCTTGCACCTTATTGAACTACAAAATAATTACTTACAAATTCATTAGTCCAATTTGGTTGTGTTGGTTATCAAACACCAAGATCCAAAGCAAATGGGCCTAGGGTCCATTTTCCTTACAATTGCTAATGTGGGTTCCTTGCTTGTCGAGATACAACTCAAGTATGGTTTCGGATTATAAGAGATATACATATAGATACATACACATAGATTAGACATAGATAGATATAGATATAGATATAGATGATGTGTTGGTAAAAGTATTAGAAAAATAGAGTGCCCCTTAAGTTTAGTTTGCATTATTATTTGGGCGTGGCTAGAGCCTAGACGTCCGAACAGACGCGCGCGTCCGAATGCCCCCGTAGCTCGCCTCGCTCCGACTTGCACGCGCACCCCGCCCTTGATGTTACGCACGCCGCTCCTCGTGTTTAGACAGCTACGCGGCCTACCCCTGACCGCCTCGCCCCTGCCTCGCATGCGCATCTTGCCCCGTCGCTGCGCCCCGCTCCTTCCCCCTGAACCCTTCCTCTCTCTCCACGTGGGAGGGACCTGGGAGCCCGCCTCTAGCTCGCTGCGCCCCCGTCTGCCCGGCCCTAGCTCGTCGTGCCCCATCCCTCGGCGCCTAGGCTGTGTGTCCATCACTCACCATGCCCCCATGGAACACTTGCTATATGAAACACTTATAGCATGAAACACTTAGATGCAACATACGTCTAACACAGATGAAACATGCTGTTGCAACTTATGTGCGAAACATATGCAACATCTATATAAAACACTTGCAACATGTGTGTGAAATATATACAACATCTAGATAAAACACTTTCAATATGTGCAATATCTAGGTAAACACAATGCAACCAGAATCTGCCCCTCAAAGAACACAACTTCGCGGTGCGAGACTAGGGGCTCCGGGGCTGCCAGGTGCCTATCCTGGATGGGGAGTATATCGACGCAGCCGAGTGCAGAAAAGGCAAGCGGAGTACTACCTGCGCGGCGAGCGCGTGAGGCACAAGGAAGACGACACCCGAGCCCGAAACTGAAACCGGGAGCGGAAATATGCTGCGATTGCCCAAGGGTTAGTGCCTTGCGAGACGAGATTCTGGAGAAAGTCCAGAGAGCGCGAAGAGATGTGGGAACGAATGGACATATGGTCGACGACGTGGAGCCACGAT